GTGGAACTTTAAAAAGGTTAGAGAGGTGAAGGAACTTAGGCTTTCACTACAATTACAAACTTGATTTCTCCCCCCATTGTAGCCACATTCATCGTATTGCATTATACCGTACCTACCAGATTTTTAAGGCGCTTTCCACAAAAGACACAAGTGTTCTTGTTCGTGTATATAAATCCTATGTACGTCCCCTAGTAGAGAGCGGAACTGTCGTCTTTTGCCCGAGCAAGAAAAAGGACATTATGTTATTGGAAAGGATTCAAAACAATTTTACCAGGAAAATTCTGATCCGTCGTGGTGGTTTTTTGTATTCCAGAATTCCCAAGGCAGCTTTAGGAACAAATATCTTGATCTTCCCTCTCTCCAGTCTAGGCGCAAGCTTTTTGACCTGTGCATGTTACACAAATTGTTGGCAGGCAAATCCGCGGTTAATTTTTCGGATTTCTACAGTTTAATTCCTTCCATAACTAGGGGTGGTCAGCTTAAATTATCGTTTTCTAGGCCAAAACAAGCACTAGACGAAACTTTTTCACGATAAGGGCTGGCCTTGCATACTTGCAAGCCAGCAAGGCTACTACCATCCACGGTTCTCTGGGCTCCTTCAAACGGGCAGTAGGTAAAAGTATTCTACAAGCATAGTTGTCACTTATCTATTCTTGAGAAGTGTTAGTATGTTGTATCGTATCTGTTTTGTTAGTTCTTGTTATGGTTATTACATTTTTTCTCACGCTATCTTATATGGCGTATATGACAAATAAATAAATAAATAAACGAATCTCGTCAATTGTGATGCATTAATGCTGAGAATTGCTTGCTTAACCATTTAGAGTTACATCAACTTTTGAAAAAGCCATACGGTAGAAACCATGTTGCGATAATTACGGAACACCTCGCATTTCAGTTCTGACTGCAACAGTGAACTGCAAAGCTCACCAGTAGCCGTGAAAATCTAAAAACTGACTTGGTTTGGAGAAATATGTGGAAAGTAATGGTGCGCTGACCGATGAAGAAAATCGCTTCTTACGGGCAGGAATGTAAAAAAAATATGTTGCAATATTTGGAACACCATGTATTGCAATTATTTCAACAGTTCATCCTTAATTTTCTAAGACAGGTAAGGCCGAAAGTGTCCGAAAACAAGGCGTCATCACATCAGATGCATGCAGAACAACTACGCAAGCTAGTGCTAGAAACTATGATTGAGAAAGGTTCGAGTCTTCTTGTGGTCTTCGTTACGAGAGAAGGTAAACCTATCTCGGAGCAGCGCCAGCCCGGATTTTTGCGAGACATTCTCCAGGCATTTGATTGATACTGTCATTGTTGGCATTCTCCTGTGGAATATTTGAGTGATGTTAGAACTATAGAGTGACGGGGGGCCGGGGGGGGGTGTGCAAGTGCAATATCGAGTGAGCATTTATCCCTATGTCAGCTATAAAATCTGGAGCTATAATAAATATTTGTGAATCCAGAGGCGGAAACACTGCATTGTTATACCACTCAGCTGGTTCACATGGAGAAAACTCCGTCATTTCACTGCACAATGAGGGTTCTTCTCCACGTTCTACTTGTGGCTGCCTGCGTTAACACTGAGGTTTCAGTGTTAACCACACATTTTGAAACGAAGAAGCCTGGTGTAGTTGAAGGGCTCAGAAACTACGTGAAGGGAAGCTCGTTCAACAAGACGAAAGAAGTAGTGGATCGCGTCGAAGAGGTAGGAGAACATTTTCGAGATTGATGAATGATATCTTTAAGTGCATGACTACCCAAGGACATCGAGAATATGCACAACTTCCGGAAAAGTTTGAGAGGATGCAGCGGAATGTCACAACAGGAAATCGCTTTGAGTCCAGAACAAAAAGAGTACCTAGAGAGACAGGTTAGTGAACGTTTATAAGAATGTGTAATAAACGATGTGAGACTTCAAAATTTTATTGCAAAAGACTCAAAACTTTTCTACAAAAGAAATTGCAAAATTGTGTGTTTGCAAAAGTTTTGCAAAAGTTTAGGCCTTTTTGGCGAGCTTTCGGCGCTTAGCGCCTTTGTCGAGCCTGAAATGAAAAATAAGCTTTCTTAAAGTCTGTTAATATATTAAAATATATTAACTGACCCACCTGCTGTTCACTCTCAAAATTGTAACACTTACTACACTTGTTGGTCTGTGTTGTTTGGTTCATGCTTCACAGACCAACAAGGGTGGTAAGTGTTACAATTTTGAGAGTGGAGGTGAGTCAGTTAATATATTAGGTTGGCAAGATTGAAATGTCGCTTCCGTTTGTGCCTTTGTTTCTCAGCTTAAACACAATCTCTTAGGATGGGAGACCATTCATTCGAAAGAGCGATTCAGTGCGCATATTGCGAAATCTTAGGCGCCACTGAGCGGATGTTCTTCGAGCCAAAACTTTTGCTCGAAGATGATTGATCAGAAATCATCGTCTGAGCGTATATATTCAAGCAAGGAAAAACGGCCAACGAATCCCACTCATTGTGTGCAAAACATTGAGCAGTAACACTTAGTCTCTGATGCACTTTCAGCTATGGTTTCAGCTCTTCCAAGACTGAGGTAAAGGACCTGGCGACGAAGATCGTGGATTTTGACCTCTAGCTCTAGATGACGGAGAAATAAAGAACAAAACTTGCATGGAGATTCAGTTGTGTCAACAGAAAAATTTAAAAGTTCCTACGTGCGACTGTTAGGGCCTTTCAGGATAGAAAATGGGTTCGGCCTATTCTGAGCGACGCGAGCAAGCAGTACTGGTTGCCAATACTGGAACTTCGCTCCATAACTTCAAGAAGGAAAAAGGTTCCTGACTTCGTGAGAAACTTCACCGTGTTGCAACAGATGTTTCCCAATTAACAAGCGTGAGAAAATGACTTCGAAATTGGACATCCACGGCAGAAAAGTCACTGCTCACAGATGCGCGAACAGCAATCAGACTGGCTGACTCTGAGGAAAACGCTGATGAACTCTGGGCGTTTAACAGTTGCCACGGACATTCACAGCAGAGCAATAAAGTTCGATAACGCGCGTAGGACGTCAAAATTTGAGTGCCCAACTTCTTCGGTTTGAACTAGAAAAAACTTCTACGCGGTAGGCATTCATGCTTTGTGTAACGAAAGGTGATGAGCCTGTGAGACAGGTGAAGGAGAGGATTCAGGTTGATGTGCTTCATTGTTGTTTTATACATGAAAATAATGATGATCCGAACAAACGACATTTCAGTCTGCAACCTAATATTTTGATAATTACCCAGCGGCTTTTACACAAGCTCGAACTATACTTCTCAGGCTGACAAAAGCGCCTAATGTAAGCGCCGTCACAGCTCTGCCAAAAAGACGCTTAGCTTCTGGCAAAAACTTTTGCAACCAACACATATGTGGCAATTTCTTTTGATAAAAGTAATTTTGTGCTCGTGTAAAGAAGTCCATTTTACATTATGGAACAGTCTCTTGAAGCCAAAACAACTTGTGGTATTTATTCAACATACAATTAAGAGACTTTGTCGAAGCGAGAACAATTCTAAAGGTATATCAGGAAGTGTACAGTAGCGCTCATGCAATATGCTGTACTGTTTCGTCAAGCAATTCGAGAAAAACATAAACACTAACATGCAGCGAAAGATCAATTGAAGATGTCAACAGTAAAGAGTGGATTTCGTCGAACTTATTTCCAAGGATATGTCTGCTTTTTCAAAGTTCGCTCACACGCTCTCGGCAACTCATATACGAGGAAAAAAATTGCACTGCATTCAGAGAACAGCAGGAAGAAGTTGCCAAGGATAGCGAGAGTCGACCCAAACGACAAGCTCTCAATGATAAAACCTACCCTGGTAACAGATGGCCACATGTCGTTAGTTACACACTTGACAATACTCTAGGTCACTTACTAATACGTTCTTATCATTACATGCATGGAGAAGATCCGAAATCTTTCTTATATTTTAAGATAGCAAGTCTAAAGAGGCATTCAAGAATGCCACGTATTTATGGATGAACGACACGTGCATTGACTTCATGGCGATCTATGCCCAGAATGTAAAATTGAAGAATTTCAAATGTCAATGAAGAATCGAATGTCATTCATTTAGCTGAGGATATGATCCTTGTGTATAAGCATAATGGATGTTGGGCAGAGGTCGGCAGGCACAAAGGGTGGCAGCTAATCTCCCTCGGCGACGGCTGTGAAACGGTACCGATTTCAAAAAACTTCAGGGTGATGCCAATATGTCTCTAAAATTAACCAATATAACAAACAACGAATCCAGCGACTTCTGAATTCCATTAGGTGTAATTACTTATTTATACCCATTGAATAGGTTGGAACCGCAGCTCACGAAATTGGTCAAGCGCTCGGACTCTCACATACGCATACGAGGCACGACCGTGACCTATATGTCACAGTTATCAAAGAAAAATGTCAATGTAAGAATTGTGAATGCCTCCGAAAGCATAAAATATTGTAGCTAGTTTCAGTGCAGCCACCTTCGCCAGTTCGAAGCAAGGACGACGGATACCAATAACAACTATAATTTAACGTACGATTACGGCAGCATAATGCACTACGGGGCATCAAGGTAAAACATTGTATTTATAGAGAGGTAGACAAACTCAAAATTTTCTATTATTATTGTTCTATTTATTTTCTTATTTATAGCTTTGTCAACGGTTCAGGAAAGCTTACTATGATACCCAAAAGATGTTAATTACACCGAGACCCTAGGTTCTCATATCATTTCATTCTACGACTTACTTATGATGAACCTGTATTACAATTGTACTGGTACGCGACATATCTCAGAATGTTCACATCCGAGATCTTCAAAGGATCTTTCAAAGAAGAGTGCATTCCAGATAAATGCAATGCTGAGGGCGCAGACGGAGGAAGTGCAGGAATGGTGGATTCGCCCATCCACGAAACTGCTCAAAATGTATATGTCCCAGCGGATATGGTGGACAGCTTTGTGATGAAAGGGTGAATGTTCTATAGCGGTGGAGACTTGCAGATCCTGTAACAAACCTATTTAGCCACCAGGTTGCGGTGCTGTGTTGAATGCGACTCAAAATTGGACAACGCTCGAAGACCCACTCAATGCTACCGAGACCGGAAGAGACGGTTTTGGAAGATGCCACTACTGGATTACGGTCACTAATTTCCTCGAATGACTCAATCACTGATATATAATTGAAGTGTATTTCAAGGCGCCAAAGAACAGAACGGTAGAAGTGAAAATCGTGCAGGTACGAGTGTCTGGCCCCTTCTACCACGAAGGGTGCACCAAAGGTGGAGTTGAAATCAAGACACATATGGACCAGCGTCGCACCGGTTACAGGTACACAGGCCATTCAAATAATCATTTTAGTATTATATTTTTAACAAAGCCCTTTTCTAGGTTTTGCTCACCGAACGCCGACAATACCACCCTCAAATCGAACTTGAGTTTGGTCCCTGTGATAACATTTAAACTCGAAAGCGTGGAGTTTGGCGGAGGCGAGGAGGAAGTTATGGCGAAAGCCACGAAGAAGACGATGAAAGCGGCGATTATAATGAAGACGAGTACGCCGATTACTATGATGAAGAAGAGGTCCTCGGTGACGTCGTAAAGCTGGAGTACCGCTACGTTTGAGGAAATAATCCAATTTAATCCAAATTTAATAAAGCATTTGATCATACTCAAATAATGAAAATTTAAAATATTCACTAAGAGACGCAGAGATTGTTCTTGCAAGTTCACTTTTCTATAGCATACACAATCAGAAATAGTCCATGATCGTACAATTTGTACATAAGCGACTCTTCCTTCTTGAGCTCTATTTGATAAATACAACATCGGAGGACACAGGAGACTTTATGACCATTATGACCTCCACTGAGAACTTTGCAATACCACTTCCAGCAAAAAGGTCATTAAGCCCTCCACAGAACCCATCATTAGAGCAACTAATTAACAAATGCCACAGCCATTACCATAGATATCAAAATTAACGCAGTGTAATGTCCCAGAGTTTAGAGACTTGCAAGCGTTGATAGCCTCGCACCTTTTCAAATGCTTGTGAAACCGTGTGGTTCGATCAGACATTCAGTTTTGTGAGCATGTTCTGTAGATTTTTTTACACTTCTCCTTCTTCTCATGCGCACTACTTCGAAGATTAGCTGAAAAAGAGCATTGCATGAGTGTACTGAATCTTGAATTGATATGAATATTAACTGCGTTAAAATGCTGCGACCACGGAGATTTAAAATCTCAATGATCTCACTTAATTCGGGAGCCAATCACATTCACAAAGTGTATGGAGACAAACAGTGTTAAGTCGATGAAAAGCGCCTAATGCAAAGCTAAGTGAATTCCCAAAGCCTTCTATACTCAATCGGCCTATTTATTCTTACCAACAGCAGGTGAATCTCTCATTGGTACGTAAGCAGAAGTGGAACAGTAGCAAACTAACAGTTAAAGTCTAGCTGAAAATAAACTATTGCTCTGTCGCTGGATCGAGTTTAGGAATATGACCATTTGTTTGGTCGATATATTGCTGATGTTGTCAGAGAGACAATCAATGGCCCCGAGCCTCTTCATATTGCTGCCCTTGAATTTCCGCCAATTCTGTGACATTGCAACAATTTTCTAATAATTGCCTGAACTTGAAATGAATTTTTTTTGATTATTCTAAAATCTCCCTATATATAGATTCACACGGGAAATCACTACAGTAAGCACTGCGACTGGTCCTCGTATAACTCTGGTCGTTCTGCGGCATAACACGCGAAGTTCATGATAAGGTCTACGTCTACAGAAGGATCAATTGAAGAAAGCTGTTGCCCTTCCTAGAAAGTAGAATCGATAAATCAAATTGCTGTCTCTCTATCGAATCCCTCTGAGGGTGGCTCACGACAAATGTATCAATCCACATTCTTTTATGAGAGAGATGAGTATCGCAAGTGTCTGGTATTGCGCAGACCGCATTGTGGTCTGCTTACAGAGCGGCGAATTCTGGATTCATCAAAGGTTACTCATCTTCTAAGGTTTAATTGAGATCCGTTAGAGTTACTCTCTTCTGAGGTTTTATTGAAAAACTGCTAAAGAATCGAAGTGCAAAAAGTTTTGTGATTCTGAAAAGAACTGCCTAAAATTTGGAATGAAATATGCGTGAACACCTCCGCCGCACCATCGACTCGCTGAAGAAACAAATTGAGGCCTGTATCAAAACTGATGGCAGCTACTCCAAATCTTTTTTGCAGTTATAAAATGTCAAGGTTTGATGTTTTATAAAAATAATTGCTTTGAAATTTTTGTGCGCAAAAAATAAAGTTAGAACGTGTTTTATGGCGCACGTTTTATTTTGCCACCCTTGTAAATCACAAAAACATTTACTACGCACAGATCAGTTTCAGATTATTTTGAAACTTTCCAGCATTCTTGTGAACGGAAGCGAGGAATCGGGTCAAAAACCAGGTGCATCAAAAAAAAACAATTGGACAAGACTATGATGGAGCACAGTGGAAAAATCACCAGCAATAAAGTTACTTCCACTAGATGGCTCTGTACAAACAGCCTCATGTGGGTCCTGTACGGATCGTCAGGACGCAGTGCTAGACGTCTTCAATCTTGTTCAATGGTGTGTAGCCCGATTCGAGTAGGGCATGACGTCACGACAGATTGAAATTGCCGATTGAACCACTTCGTCGTGATTGAATCCGTGAGTTTCGAGGTCTACTAAAAATGTCAATCATTTTTATGCAGGACTTTGTGGTATTGTAGAAACCAGAAATCTTCTTGAAGCTCTCAAGCTCATATTACTAATCTCTATTAATGGCACGGGTAAAGGTTTTCCCTCAGCACACCATAACGCCTCGTAACGCGAGGCCTACCTGCTTCCGGAATTGCTCGTCCACTTTGGAATCCGGCAAAAACTAGTGTACGCTAGTTTTCGAAATTACGGTGAGTAGAGAATTCAGAAGATGGATATACCAAGTTCATTCCGTAGGCCGGAAGAACCTTGGACAAGGGTATACTGCAATGGTAGGATCTACCTCAGCAAAATTGTTAATGATTATATCTCTAAGGGACGCCTACTTAAGGCCGGTTTCAGGCTTTGCGAATTGAGCGATACACTATCGAAGCCTTTCATGCCCTCTCGTTCACGCATACTCACATAGGCCTGGAAACGTGGCGAGAGTCAACGTCAACGCAAGAAGGATACCTTAAAACACTGTGCAGCCGCTGGTACATTGTTCGATTTGCTGGCACATAGTTCGAGAACTGATGTATCGTTCGATTCGCTGGAGGGGTTTGAATTCGAAGCTCGACACGTTCCCATCCATTTGATGCCATAAGGGAATCTTCAGTTCTTGCGCCCACCTGTCGAGTACACTTTCTCATAGAGAGAGTGACAAGACGAGATTGGAAAAAACCTACATTTGTCAAACCAAACCTGGCTAAACAGACTTTATTTTCAGGTACGAAAAGAACCTCGTCTTGGATATGAGTCACTAAAAACGCCAAAAGATAGCTTGTTGTTCCTCACCCAGAATGCAATAAGCTGAAGTTCGGCCACCTACATGTTTCGCCATACGATGGAGTTTATGTTTTTTTTTTTTTTTTTTTTTTTTTTTTTTTTTTTTTTTTTTTTTTTTTTTTTTTTTTTTTTTTTTTTTTTTTTTTTTTTTTTTTTTTTTTTTTTTTTTTTTTTTTTTTTTTTTTTTTTTTTTTTAAATTTTTAAAAATGAAAAAAGTGAAACATGTTCGGCATAAGAAAGTAGCTTCCACATCAACTTACTTAGAGGCACCGATAGATTCTGGAGTGGTTTAGAAGGGATGTGGGTGTTCATTGGTACGAAAATGGCGAAAAAGCAAAGACATCCGCTGAGAATCAGCAATGTAGTACCTCTCTAAATTCCCGTTCATTTTCATTTTTGAGTGCTGTAATAAAGGAAGCGATTCGGACGTATCATATCATGATGCTATCGTACGACCTATACTGATTTGATGAGCAATGACTCCAATATGTAGTAGGCGCCCTGAATATTTTATGGGCGAGATGAAGTGCGCTTCGCTTGTTAGCGTCAGTAAGCGCATCAATATGCTGGAGTAATATGGAATGCGTG